AGATTACTGAATAGATCCAATGAAAATTTTTAGCGTCTGCAATTTTCAATGGGGGAACCTAAAAAGGATTTTTGGTAAAAAAATTATACAAAAAATAGGTACTTTGTATTCCACTGAAGTAAAAAAAACGTACAAAACCTCAGTGATTTTTGTAACAGAGAAAGTTTAATTTTGGTTTTAATAAAGCCCTTGTTGTATATGCTTTATACTACTCATCAGAATGTAAGGAGTTTTCTAAAATTTCAGGATTGATTTCACATAAATTTTTTAAAATACCTCTTGAAATTTCATTTTGATGAAAATGGTTTATTAACTCCAAAAAGCCGTTTTCTTGTCCCTTATATGAAACTACTCAAGTTTTAATTAAAACGTGATAATTATCGCTCTTTTCAGGGAGGAAATTGATGATTTAGTCAAATCAGCGAACCAGCCAGACAGCAGCACCAATCAGGTCGTTTTATTTTCCTACGACTCAAATGTTCACTATTGATCTATGATGATGTAAAAAATTTACAGTTTTTAAGTTTTTCAATATTTTTCCCCAAAAACGATTCGATATGGAATAAAGGGTAGTCGGAACATAAAGGGTAGTTTTGCTCAGTGTAAGAGCAGTGCGATCTGATGTTTATTTTTGGTGAGTTTTTTGTGTAAAAAAGGCCCGAACTCAAAATTCTTTTTGCCATCTTGCCGCTGTGACAACCAATTTAGAGCGCCTACTGAGAAGAGAAAGCACATACACAATTGCTGTCGTCCTTGAGAGTCAAAAACAAATATATGTCGACAAATATAATAAACGATCAGTCCCCCTATGGTATCTACTAGAAAATCTCACCCTCTAAATAAACCAGTAAATTAGCACTGGAGTTTTCTATAAAAACACTGTGTGGTCAAAAAATTGTTAACATAATCTACTCATCAATCTTTTTTAAATTTTCTCTGAAATCGGTAGGATAGAGATTGCTGAATAGATCCAATGAAAAATTTCAGAGTCTGCAATTTTCAATGGGAGAACCTAAAACTTGTTTTACTAAAAATGATACAAAAAACGGTATTTTGTATTCCACTTAAGTAAGAAAACACCGTACAAAACCTCAGTGAGTTTTGTAAGAGAGAAAGTTTAACTTTGTTTTTTAATAAAGCTGCTATTGCATATGGTTCATACTACTCATCTACTCATCAAAATATGAAAGGAGTTTTCTAAATTTTCAGGATTGATTTCACATATATGTTTTAAATCTTTTATATCTTGAAATGTCAACTTTGATGAAAATGGCTCATCATCTCCAAAAAGCCGTTTTCTAGTCCCATATATGAAGCGATTCAACTTTTACTTGAGACGTGATAACTATCGCTCTTTTCAGGGAAGAAATTGGTGAATTGGGTGAATCAGCGAACCAGTCAGACAGCAGCAACAATCAGAATGAAGCAAACAGAAAGTGTTCCCTAGAAAATTCTATTGGTTAGAGCTTATGTTTTTTTTGCTTTAAAACTTAATATCGCTAAAAACTAAAAAAAAATCTAATCTTTAACTTGATTATAGCTTCAACAAACACAAGAGAAACTTCAGTACGAAAAAAAGGCATGTAATATGTTGCAATTTTAGTATCTGAAGCACTCAGTTTTTTTTATAATCGTTCCAAAAACGACGCTTAGAAGTAAATATGTGCTTCTTTATTGCAAATTGAAAAAACTGGACAAGAACCATTTAGAAACGCTAATTTCAAAAAAGTGTTTTTAACTTAATGAGTTGAAATAAGATAGCTATTTAAAAATTTATCCTTGTTGCCATTTTTGTTCAACAGTTTTATCTTAAAAATTACAAAAGTCGAGTTTAGTTGATAATTATCAAAATAAAAAAACATAAGTGTGTTTCCCAAATTGATTACATATGAAACTTAATGTTCAGCTGCAAATCCACATTCTTCAAGTTAATTTAAAAACACATTTTTAGACTCTTTGAATCAAGCATTTGACAGTAACGAAAATAACGAAAATAACGAAAAAACAACCGAATATTTGTACTCGGGATGGTTTTGTTCTTCAGACAAAATTCGACTTTTTACCTAGCCATTTTTGACGGAACTTATTTATATCATTCGAAAACTCTTGATGTCTTGAAATTAAATTTTATAGGTTTTTTACCTGTGACAATTATTCGTAAAGTTATGGGGGTTTAAAGATTGCCATTTTTGTCAATTTGGAACAATTAACGCGCGACATATATCACGTTTTTAACGCGTAAGCGGAGACTTAATCCGTCTTTGAAATCGTTCCAATTTGGTTCAACGAAGCCTATATACCAGAAATGATTTGTTAATAGAAGCAAAATCTGTCACTTTGTATTTCATAAGGCGTGTGGGGGGATGTTTTTACAAAAAATCTCAATTTTTTTAAATTTGTTTTTATTTTTTTACATTTAAATTTTTCATGTTATTACTGTCCATAGACCTCAAAAGGCAGTCGCAACATTCAGGACTTTGTCCTGCTACGAGCAGTCTTGTTCAAATTATTCACTGATTTTACCCAGCTAAATCTTTTTTTTTTCTTTAGCTTCAAAAGGCACCCGGAACCTTCAGAGTTTTGGGCTGAAAAGCAAGCAGTCTAGAGTGATGTATTTTGGAATTTGACACGCAAATTTGTCGATACTGCGCGCAGAGGACGAAACAGACCGCGCGTTAATTATCAAAATGGACTAAATTGGCTATTTGTAAAAGCCAATGGCAAAGGCAATATTTGTAAAAGCCAATAGAAATGGTTGCACATACATAAGTTATACATATTTCTAATTTTAAGCTCAGCTCAGAGTTTATCTACTTTTTGATAATTGTTTCAAAAAATGACGTTCGGAAATAAATGCATGATTTTTTTGCAATTTGAAGAAACTGGATAAAAATTGTTCAAAATCGTAATTTTGAAAAACTAATTATTCTAGAATGAGTAAGAAAAAAGTAATGCTACAAAAATAACAAGACTGCTCGCCTACAGGAAATCCATATCGAATAGTTTTTGGGATCAAAATCTCACGAACATTTCAACAATATCAAAGATCAATAGTGATAGTTTGAGTCGTACGAAGTTAATACGACTGATTAACCTAGCCAGCCTCAATTTAATTTGAAACGATTTTGTTCTGCGGAATAATTCGCCACGCATAAATAGTGTACATTACCCTTTCAGCATTATGAATAAAAACGTCAAAGCGTGCATGAATTAGTAGCCAAATTAGTAGCCAAACCATAGCCAAATTGACAATTTTCAAATTCCCATAACTTTACCAAAAATGTTCAGATGTAAAATAAATTTTGAAATTTGTTTTCAAAGAGTCGATATCTTCAAAGGGATATAAAAAAATCGGTTAGAAATTGACTAAATAAAAAAACCCCAAGCATTAATACTCCGTGTCTCCGTTTTCTTTGAGAGTTGGAATAATAATGCTGAGTTTTAACACGCATATTGAATAACGTAGAAAAAGAAACATTTTAAGTGGTAGTTTTGGAATAAAATATTTTAATCATTTTCTTGAAATTAAATATTAGATCAATCGCGTGGTGAAGTGGTTACGTCTCCGCCTCTCAATCGAAAGGTCGGATGTTCGAGGCCCACCATGATCCGTGCTCGTTGCTTGAGGGTGAAGCAACATTACCCAGCCCAGAAAAATAACCAAAAAAAAAATAATTGCATGTAGTTCTTAAACAGGGGCACAACAGCGGTTCGCCGTGATGAGCTGTACAGCTCTTGTGTTGGTCCTTTCCCCCGTGGATAAATGATCATAATAAACACCTATATAGAAGCGGTATCACGCCATTGAGAGCCAAGAAGTTCAATTGAAATGTAACGCTGTGAGTACAATTAATTAATTGAAGTTCTCTCTGTGCTTCAAGCTATTTTAATTATCGAAATAAAAGTACAAAAATATACTCTTTGTTTATTTGAAAAGTACGATAAAAAATATAACATAATTAGTTTTCGTTTTTGATATTCCGAAATAACCATTTATTATCTATTGAACTTCGATACGGGTATCCATGCGATATCTCTCGGCCATTGCTCAACATTCTCCAAACTCAAGTTGGCTTTTGAAGGCAGAGAAAAAGCACGATACTTTTTCGCCATAACTGAAATGAAGCTCCGAATAATTGTCTGTTGTTGTAAGTCTTTTTCATCACGTGATCTCAGCCGCTTCGAGTTGTGACCAAATTCCATCTTATAAGGCTCTTTTCACGTTTTTTTCACCAATATGTATTATATGTATATAGAAGGAAATTGTTATGCTATTGGTACAGCCAGCGACTGCCTTTGCTATCTCATAGAATTGTGAATAAAAACTAATCAGTATAAAAACTTTCATATAAACCATTCTAATGTGGATGAAAATGAGAAATGAGCCCGCGACCTGTATGTACGGAATGTCTATTTCCTCCAGGAACTTCTGACCTCCGAGAATTGCGTTTGGTTCAGACTCTTCAATGTCAATTTTTACGATGGCATGTGACAAGCAAATCAATCAGACCTTATTTATGAAACCAGAGGCTAATCTAAAATTCTTTTGAGGGTTGCACTTACAAAAAAGTTAGATGAAGACTAATTTTTTCAAGCTTTGTATTCAATTTGTGACCATATTGTTTTCTGAGCTCTTCAAAACCACCAGAAAGACATTATTTTGCAGAGATTGAACGCTATTTTGTTTTGAAGGCCCGTTTTAGAAGGTAATTGATGTGTTTTTTGACGCACGTCCCCCTCAAAGTTACTATATATTGAAGAATAAGGCGCCGTTATAAATTTTTAGCGTATAATTATGAAACAGTTACAAATTTTTTTAAATTCAAATGACGTAATTTTCTGCTGGCTTGTAAATACGCCGTTTTATTCACACTCCAAGTCTTCTAGCTAAAGTTTCAGATAAGTTGAAGAATCCAAGCATCCTTGAAAAGTTTTTAAAAAATACGCGTTTCTTAAAATTGACAAGTTGTTTTCATTAGTTTAGCTTACTGCTTGATTTTTTGTCTCACTGGCCTGTTTAATTCCCAATTTTTGGAAAGTCGGCAACAAATTGTCCAAAGTCGTCACTCTAATATTCTCGTTTTTCGAACAGTTTTGATCCGGCTCAAGCTTAGCTGCTGCCACATTTTTGGGCGTCAAAAAGAAATTAGAGTAAACGCAATACGTTTTTTCTTTGAGAGCATAAGGAAATATACTGACACTTTCTTGAAGACCATTGATGGCGACACTGTGGTATAAACTCTTCAGTGTATTTTCTAGAGGTTCAAAGGCAAAAACTTTTCGTCCGAGCAAAGCAGCAGATACTGTGTATATGCCAGCCATAGCTCCAATGTCAACGAAAACTGCGTGTGGATACTTAGGGAAAACTTCCCCAAACAAAATTTTCTGCTGCTGCATTTCGTAATTTCCGCCTTCAATCTGAAATTTTTTTCCAAGAAAGTCGTCGCCAACTACAAAACAAATGCGAGGTTGATTAGTTGTGTCAGTACTGTTGTTCACCCATGGCTTAACGTTCAATTCGTGCTGACAGTAGTTGTGAACAAAAGACTCGTCAATTGAAAATGTGTTCCACCTTAAAAAACATAAATTATATAGAAAACGCTGAAAAAATTATCCGAAGAAATGAGTCCAAAATCTCAATGGCGTGTGAAAGTAGCAGTATAGATTTATAGATTTCAGTTTTTTTTTCAGTTTAAATTTCAGTTAGAAGACCATTTGTCTACTCGAAAAACAAGAGATTCAAATTTATCACATATTTACGGAAAAGTGCAGTTGAATCCCTAAACATGACCTACATGTAATTATTTTGTCAAATTTTTTGTGCTCAGCTTGCTGCATCTCTCTCTCTCTCTCTCTCTCTCTCGAGAAAGGAGCAACGATCACAAGCCATAGAGGGCGTCAAATTTTGAAGCTAACAGCCAAAATTTGGTAGGGCGACAATTCGTAACAGGCGACATTTCGTAACAAGCTACATTTCGTAAGAATACATTGGCAAATTGAATACGCTTGCTCTGCTTCGCTCCGCTTACATCCGACACGAGAGTAATACTGCGCGTGGATTAGTGGTTCCCGCTTAATCTACATTTACGAATTGTCGCTTGTTACGAATTGTCGCCTCTTAGGAATTGTCGCTTGTTACAAAGTGTCGCCTCATGCCAAAAATTATTGAATTTTCATATTGATTCATTTAAAGTGCAGTTTGCTTAGTTTTTATTGTTATAAATTAACGATTTCTTTCGTAAATTAATCTGAGCAGTTATAAAAATTGAAGTATTTCAGCCTATTTCTAGATGCTTCCCTCACCTTTGTTCGTGAATTGATTTCCTGTGGTAGTACATCTCATCTGATGTCCAGAAAGTGGTTCCGGGTTTGAGAGAATCTTTCATGACCGTAATCAATCCGATTAATACTAATAACAAAACAATTTTATTTGTCCTTTTCATATTTCAAGATCAAATTTATTAGATGTTTCAAGCTGCCAGTTATTTCTCAATCAACAAAAGCTTCTAATCTGGATAGAAATTTTATTTAGATAATTTAACTTGATTGTGTTTTTTGTTCAGAAACTAATTATTTCTCATCTAACATTACAAATATACAATTTATAGAAAAAATGATCAGAAATCAGTTCATTGCTCAACAGCAGGGAGATAAAAGAGGACCGACCTTTTACTACAGTGACCTTTTACCAGAAAATTTAAAACATAGAGATTTACCAACCAAATTGATTGACAGATAAATGACGCCGTTTAGTCTAGTTAAAGACAAACGTTTAGCGGTTTATTAGCGAAGTTGTATAAGTTAACCAATTCCTTTTGGAATCGTCCTCCAATTTTAGAATATCTTAACTGAATTATTTTTATTGTGAACTGGTAAAAGGTTGGTCTGGTAAAAGGTTGGTCTGGTGAAAAAAAATAAACTAGCCCCGAGATAAACATGCTTCGAGTTTGTAGCCGAAGCAATGCAATGCAAGAAAAGCACTTGTTATAACAAGTATTACTTTAAATTACAATGCTAAAAATAAGCGCCCTAGTTGACGGGTCTAGGGATTTTAGCAGACTGGTTTTTTAGCAGACCGGTTTTTAGCAGACTCAGAACAATTATAAAGTGTGACAGCTCACTTCAAACGCGGCATTGGCGATTAACGACCGCTTGCTCCGCTGCGCTTCAATTCAACATGAGTGTTATTGTGCGCGCAAATCTTTGTTTCGCCGCTAATTTAGACTGTTGTGTTTTTGAAGCTGATAGTTTTAATGACAAATCGTGAGATAATTTACCTAATTGCGGAAGCTTGGCCCCAAACTTAGTCTCTTTTTGAGTCTGTCAATCAATCATCCATCACTTTTTTACGTTGGGCTGCTAGAAGACTCAATTTTCACTTTTTATGCTAAAAAATTCGTCTGCTAAACGATCGGTCCCCCTAGTTGATGATGCCTAGCGTTAGCAAAACAGTCTATGCGACGTTGCTTCGCGGGTTCGAGCCACACCTGGATACTTTTTCTAGCTAGAAAGTAAAGAACAAGCAAAACAGTCTATACGACGTTACTTCGACGGTTTGAGCCACACCTAGATACTTTTTCTAGCTAGAAAGAGTCTAAATTTAGCTAATTCCAGTTAGAAATAATAGTAGAAACTCCTTTGTTTAGAAACTCCTTGTATGATTAGAAACTTTGAACGTTTTTTGGGAATCCCTGCTCTATATAAACATTTTAAAAAGAAGTTCTGGCAAAATATTTAGACAAGAGCTTGAGTACTTCTCGTCAGAATTATATAGAATGTGTTTGATACGGGTAAGATGAATTAAAAGCTTCTAATAATTTTGTTAGATCAGGCATAGCATATAAAGAACAAACAAACAAATGTTTATTTTTTGTGAAGGCCGCATTTTAAAAATACTTTACCATTCCAGTATTAAAGATGAGTTTACTCAACAAATACCAAGCGAGCCCAAAACAAGCTACCCCTCAGTGAAATCATATGCTTTAGCACAAAGTTAAGAGACAATCGATTTTGGTCGAGTAAGTTTTAAGGTAGTTCAAGAACACCGATTAAGTAACGATTGAAAGGGCTTCAATCTACAATATGAGATGTTTTCGTCTCATGTATTTGTTTGTGCGGAAAATACTCGTTCGACGCCGTAGTTTCTTTTCACGTTGTGGACAGCCGATGGTGCAAATTGATTTTCTGAACTCTCTTTAACACACTAAAAAAATTCAAAATTTTTCAGAAATCAGACGTTTTAAGGCCAATGCAAACTTTTGAAAAAATGCCAAAAGCGACCCTAAAAATTCCCTAAAAAATTATCATGAATTGGTTATCAGGATAATACAAATAATTTAGGCATTCTTTTGCGGCCGAGGAAACCCATCATTACGATCAAAACATCCCAGAAGTTATACCGGTGGTGGAGAGATTGTGACTTTAGATTTCAAAACAAGGCGTAAAAACAATTGTTATATTTAGACCACCAGAAAAAAAAATTGCAGCGAAAATGGCAAAGAATTGGAAATTTTTAGAGGCTGAAATAACACAGAGTTATGAATGACGGAAACAATATGGAAGTGAGAAAAGAATAAGTCTAGCATAGGGATGCGGTATGACAGGAGGACCACCTCTTAAGTGCTAACCTTGTGTGCCATTGCTGAAGATTAAAATGTTAGTTATGAGTATTGTTTAAGATGTTTAAGTGTCAAAGCCGGTACCTGTCAACCAAATCATTTTTTGCTTAAAGTGCGCAAATCTTGTTTTCTGATGAAAGATTTCAAAAAACCAGTTTTTTTATTGCTAAATAAGTCAATTCAACTCAATTCATATTAGTTTCAGTTAGCTTTAGAAAATCTGTCTCTTGTTATCCCACATGGCGCAGCCAGCAGTTTCGGTCGACGAGGACTGAACTGAATTTGAAGGAATACCAACGTTCTGGCCCAAACCATCTACTGAAACATTGTTGCCATTGGAATCGTGGAAAGTTTTTTAGCCGTAAAAAAGGAACATTGCATCGCTAGTATCCTAATTAGTGAATCGGCAGAAGTCTTCGACGACCCGCCACTACAACCAGCAAAAAAAGAGGGCACAGGAAACCCAACTGAAGAAGTCAAACGTATCGCAAAAATCCGCCTGTCGAACTCAACGAAGAAAGATACAAAAGGTTCCAAAAACTGGACAAAACGTTTTCTACCATGAAACGGACCAAAGGATCAAGATGCAATTAGTCTTTTCTCTGAGATCATAAAGTGAGAAAAAATTCTAACAAAGCCATGCCCACGTTAATATTGCAAAGATCACATTCCGAGATATCTAAAATTGTTGTGAAATTCTATTCAAAAGTATAAGAGTTTTACTATCGAAAAAAATATCTGTACAACGCGTACCAATAAAAACTGAAGGTCTGGAAAATTTTTTCTTGAGGCTATTGGGTCAAGCTGTCCAATATAAATAGGCAGTTGACAATGAGAAGGAAGTCTTGTAAAAAATTATTATCGCTAAAGTGAGATTCAAAGACATTCAGCGTGATCTTTCAATTAGACCGGGAAGAGAAATTAGACTACGTCAAGAGAAAGGCCATGCTACTGCTTCCACACTCCGTAAACAATTGGTTCATCCAGGACCTTCATATCCCCAAATTTTAATTAAGACCAGAACTGTTTTAATTCGTTCAAAAACAAACAAGAACCAACACTTTTGGTTCAGCGAAAACAACAACATTCAGGGCAGAACAGATAGAACTCAAAAATCAAAAATAACTTTCAGCAAGTGACAAACACAAAGTCAACCTAAAGAAACCAAACAGTGTTACTTTTGCGAAAAAGAATTCACTCTTGATCACAAACTATTTTGTCCGGCAAAAAACGTCCGGATAAAAACTTCGTCAAGTGTTCCATTTCAAGGAATAAATTGGAAATGTAGTTATTGACTCCAAAACTACAAAAGAAAGAATTTGAAATCTGAGTATTCAGTTTCAAACATCTCATCCACGGTTGAATCAAACCATCGATTCAAAAAACCCATAACATCAGTCAAAAAACTAGATATTGTCAATTCAGCTAGTGCAAAAATCAAGTATAATCGAACTACTTTACGAGTTAAGAGAACATATTCAAAACTCCAGTAAATACAGACCTCCTTGCTTCCTTTGTCTATAAGAAAACCGCAGATGATTTAGTTGAATCTGGCGCTAAAGTGAAAGAACTGTCAACTGCAGTAATGCCAATTGACAGTCATAGAAGTTAGACTGTAACAGAAGAACAATCAAATTATTTGGCACACTAATCACAGATAAATCGTTCTTGGGTTGGCATATTCAATCTGCCAACATTTTAGTTTCACAAAACAGAACCAGGTATCTCCTTGGCGTAGATCTACTAAATTCATTGGAGGTACAAACCATCCAATCAGGACCAATCCCTGTTACTTCAATTTCAGCTTACGCTCCTAACGACTTCAAAACCTTCGTTGCAGACTAGGAAGATCGAAAAACCATCCGGTGCATTCGGTATTCAAAGACCCACTCGTCCCAATTCAAGACAAAGGCCACAGAGCACCAATTCACATCCTTGAAAAGATGGGTATTGACCTCAAGAAACGTATTATAAAAGGCCATACGGTAAAACTCAAAAAGTGCACGAGCGATCATTTGTAGCTCCGGTAGTTATTACAGTCGAGAAGTAGGGTTCTATCAAACTAGCTATGGATACAAACCAATGAACGCGCAAGTTTCTAAAAATCAGTATGAAATGCCAAAACTTCTAGAGCAGTTAGATCTTGCTGTGCAAATCATCAATATAGAAACTTCAGGGAAAACTTGTTTCAGTTCTCCGGATTTATATTACCCTTTTAGCCATATTTTATTTAGCGAACTTGTTAATGGCCACTGTAATTTTCGCATACTATGTGGAAAATCAACAGATAATTATCGTTTTAAAACTGTTTTTTACGGCCTTACAGCTTCGCCCAAGAAGTTTCAGATAGCAATGGATAATACGCTACAAAACAGCAAAAGAGTAATTTGCTTTCAAGTTGATATACTCACTGTCTTAAAAGTTTCACAACAAAATTGTCAAAATAAATTGTAAAACTAGGCAAAGAAGGTTTTGCCTGTAAAATTAGAAAATTTGTATTCTCTGTAAAAATCTCAAAGTTGGAATTTGATTTCAACAAATCCGGTTACCAACCCAAACTATCTAAATTAAAACCAGTCTAAAACTTAAACCCCCTCGGATCTTAAAGCAACTCCGTTCCTTCATGGGCTTACTGAACCATCGACAAAAATTTTTACCGAATCTACAATTCTTCGCTGAAAATTAGCAAAAAGGAGAAACTCATTTGGGGATCAGAACGACAAAAAGCCTTCGAAGACACACTATTACCAATCTCTAAAATCACAAAAAGGTATTATTACGACCAAAAGTGAAAATCAAGAGCTAGTTACGATACAAGCCATGGGAGCAGCTTTGGAACAAAAACTCTCAGATGATTCTCGGATTCCCATTTTTTGCCTCTATATACCTGAACCTTCAGGAATAGAAATACAGAACAGACTATACTATAACGAACACTCATCAATAAATAATTTTTTTTGGTTCATCAAAAAACGCTTGGTTCCCAATGATGCTCAGGAGCCTAGCAGCAACCGAAAAAAGGTTGGGTGCGCTACCTGAAAGTAGGCCAGCAAATTATGTGAAGGATTGCAATAAATACGTATTAGTAGCAATAGATTCATTTGAG